AAAAGGTGTCTGCTTCAGCATGTTCTGGGGAAAGAAAGTCAAGTCACGGGGGAAGAGAGGAAGCACCACTGACAGAGGAACACAGCTTCAGAATTGTTCCTGCTCCATAATCTCATTGCTGTATTGGATTCAAGGAGTGGATCCCACCAGATCTTGGCTTGCTTGGTCTGGCACAAGGCTCAACAACCATTTTTTGCTTCTTTCTTTTCTAACTAGAAATGTCTACAGAGCCACTGCAGATACAGACCCTGTGTGCAACACAAGGTCTCCGTGACACAAGGTCACAAACCAGTTATCTGTGCCCAAGAACATCATCTGCTCTCCCTGCCACCAGCACACACCCTCAGAGCTTCCACAAAGTAGAAGCAACAGGCAAAGTCCTCCCATTCCATTCTTTTCTTACCGTGTATACATAAGTATGAGCAAACAAGAGCTTCTAAAGGGATTTAGTGCAACTTAGACCCAAGGACAACAAACAAACCTCCCCCCATCAAATATCCTCACTTCCCATGTCCTCACCACTCCCAGCCCCTTCAGCTCCTACCAATTTGCTTTGATCCCCAAAACTCCTCGTGCCATGCAGAGAACTCCCAGTACAACAGCTGTTACTGGGAGTTCAGAAGGGTCCCTCACCTTTCCACTCGCTGTTCGGGTCTGTAGCAAAGGTGTAGTAAAGAGGCCCCACGATCTCGTTCATGCCCTGAACGTAGGCTATCCCGGGATTTAGCTTGGCATAGATGAACAGGATCCTCTCCACCACCTCCCAGTGAGCTTCGCAGCCGTTGGGCAGCACTTCGTACTCGCTCAGAGAGCTGGGGGTGGTTTTAAGAGGGGAGCTCACCTGGAAAAGAAGGCAAAACCCACAGCTGGATCAGGATAACCGACTGGCACAGATCATTTAGTACACGTGCCAAGGTTGGCATTAAACACACACAGGCCCCAAAAGAATTTGGGCAGTTTGTACCAAAAGAAAGGGGAAGCGCACAGGCAGTGGAATCCTAGTGCTGCTGTCCCTGAGGAATGAATCAGCCTGTGCAGCAACACACAGTTTCCCTGAATCATTGCACCACGTGATCCCACACAGCAAGGAACCAGTATAGTTCTACTCTGTCAGTAGTGTGAGGGAAGGTATTGATCTGTTGTGGTAGAAACCACCTTCCACAACAGCACATGTGCTGTGATCCTCAGGAAAGAGGGAAGGGACAACAGATATTTCAGCAGATACCCAGCTCTTCTCCTAATTGTAGCTTTCTGAGCTCCAGCGCTTGATGACTATGTAAACTCATAATAAATTCATGGTAAATTAACTCTTCAGTGTTTTTTTTCTATATAGGAGGGCACATGTCAACTTATGACTTCAACTTCTGGTAGAAGTCATGAAAAAAAACAATCCTTAAAATGAAACCCAGCCCTAATTCCCTGCTGTCTGTCACACACATCGACTGGTCCTACAACGTGTTCAGTATCTGCTCAGTATCTGCTGGGGTATTTCCTTAATTTCACTGCACAAGCAGAAAGATAAAATAGCAGAAGGAACACTCTTCCCCTTCCCAGTTCCGAGGCCTTGCCCCGTGCCCCAGCACAGCCCCAGCCCCGGGCTCACGTTGGTGACCCCGCTGCGGTTCCGCGCCACCGTCTGCGACTTGAGCGTGGTCTGTTCCACCCGCCGGCGCAGCGTCTCGAACTCGTTCTGGGGGTCCAGGATCAGGAGGCAGGGATAGTCCGTGGGGCGCTGGAAAAACGCCATGTCAGGGTACAGCCTCCTGGGATGGACACAGAAGGAAATCAGGCACGAGGAGGAAGGAGGTGCCCCGCGTCGAATGGGAGGCCTGGTTTAATATTAAACTCGGTTTTCAAAGTACGGTGTGTTGTTACCAGAACCTCTCGGGTTCAGAAACTTGTGCCTCACACACCTGACATCTTTGTCTATCTGCAGAAGCACCTCGTTATCCTTGAAGTAAGTGTTCCATCGGCTGTCTGGATTGGGATTGAGGGGCTAAAGGGAGAAACAACAGAAACAGAACAAACATGTTTCACATGTATCAAAATCCTTTCTTGCTGTTCCTCTGCCACAAAGCACCAGCCCAGTCCTAGTGCATCAGGGTCATGTTTTTTCTCATATTTTCAACCCTTTTTCATTTGTCGCAATGATTTTGTTCCCAGGTATCCTGTCTCATGTCAATGAGATTCCTGATTGCAGCTCCAACTCTGTACAATGGAGATAGTTTTTGGACTTGGGGTAAGAATTATCCACCCACCCAGTACTTTGGTGTTTTCTTTATGAGCTACAAGTATCCCCTTCTATCTCAGCTCTGAGAATGCTGATTAAGCACCACCCCTGTGCCCAGGAAAAAGGAAATACATATTCCATGAACAACCTGTCCTGTACTGACTAGTTTCCTAATATGATAAACTTAACTCCCTCCTCCACACCTTCCCCCCTCCACACCAAGATCCACACAAAGTTAACAACTAACCAAGAAAACAAAAAGCAACATTCCAAGGGATTCAAAGATCACTCTGACCTGTCTGTGTGGTTTTACAGACACACCAGTTTTACACCACCAAAGCTCCAGGGATCAGAAGGGCAGATCACTGAGAGGAGTGAGCGTTCAGGGTGGTCATGGAGGCAGCTGTATCATTTTACATTCTCTTCTGATCAGTTACTCCATTCCCTCCTCCCACACAAACACTCTTAACAGCACTTTCAGAGAAGCAAAAAGCCAAGGGATTCAGGAAATAGTCCATTAAAAAAAAAAAGCCAGCAACATTACTAGAAGTAAGTGTGTCTCCTGCCTTTCAGGACACAGTCCAGCTTGACTTTCCTGCCTCTTTTCAATCCTCTGCTCGGATTAACCTGTTCTGAGTCCACTCAAGGACCTGACTTCCCAGGAGAGCCTCTCTTTGCTACAGGTGCCTCTCAGGAGCCTCTCCCTTTCCCTGGGAGACCCACAGCCTGGGCAGGGAGCCTGAAATTGGGGGAGCAGGGACATGCACAGCTGGAAACAGCCCTTTTCAGAGCTACTGGTGCTTTGCCAATAATTCACTCTGAAGGCTCCAAAGATACAAGTGCTGGTAACCTGGGAACTTTCAATTCTGCTGGCAAGGGCACAACAGTGGGAACAGAGCCAAGAGCAGCCCAGGGGTCCACACTCCAGAAAAAGAGTTTAGAGCTGTGAGGAATTTTCTGCAGCACAAAGGCTTAACAACACTCACATGATCTTCTAAGGTCACGTCTTCCCTTGAAACACCCAGGTTGGCTTTGGCAATCCCAGGCTGGATAATCATCTCCTTCAGGAACTGGGAATAGAGATCCCTTAAGGAAGAGAAGAGGAATTTGTAATGAGGTAGATAAGGTGAAGGTGAGCTCACAGAGTCTAAACAGATCTCTCTGTCTCATCCTGCTCCTTCTCCTCAGCTGAGTTCAGCTGAAAGGGTCAATCCACCAGGCAGCTGAGAGAACAGCACATTCCACACAGGAACAATTCGTTTTATGAAGGTACTTAATTATTTAAGGACTATTCTTCTTCTCTGCAGACATCATTAGGAATAAAGGGACAAAGTACCAATGTCCTCACCTCTGTTTCTTCAGCAAAGCGCTCCATAAGGCTTTCTCTAAAGGGAGGTAGTTCAGGAGTATCTGCACAGGGGACAGATGCACACGAATCAGTGTTAAATGACCTGCTACAACTGTAGGATGAGCCAACCAAACATGGGGTGAGAACTGGCTCTCTGAAAATACTGGGAGCTTTCTCCAGAAAGCCAAGCACTTTACCAGAAGTATTTCAGGGACTGGTTTCCAACACAGACCTATTTGCAGGACTGATCAATAGCCAACCCAACCAAAATGCTCTCCCAGCTTAAAAACGAGGCTCTGCTCACATGCAAAGTGCTGATCTCCCCGAATTCTTGCTGACTTCGAGTGGCTTTTAAAGCTCTGAATTGACTGATTGTTTGTTTACGATTTTAAGCACCCATAAAAACCAGTACGTGTGCTTCACCAACCCCAAGAAACAAAAGCACCCGGGGCAAAACCCACCTTCCAGCAGAGGCAGCGCAGCCCACCATCGAAGGGGATTCCTGCGGAACACCAGACAGAGAAACAGCCACGTTAGCCCGTCCCGGCAGCGCTTTTGCTCCCGAGGCTTCCCCAGGGCGCTGCCGGGGTTGTCCAGGTGGGTCCCACGGGGAGACTGCACCACCTCAGGGCCGCCGCCGAGCCCGAGCCCCCTGCCCAGCCCTCCCTGGGGGCACTCACCGCTGAAGCAGAGCTCGCGGAGCTTGGCCAGGGCCACCGTGGGTTCGCCGAGCACCTCCTGGAAGTCCGCGATCCTGAGGGGAGCGGAGCCGCGCGCGTCACTAAGGGTTGGGATGGGCACGGCCAGAGCCCCCAGAGACCCCGAGCCCCCAGAGACCCCGAGCCCCCAGAGACCCCGAGCCCCCAGAGCCGCCCCGGCAGGGAGAGGAGGCGAGGGAGCCCAGCCCCGGCACGGACACGGACACGGACACCGACCTGCTCTGGTGCAGCCGCGACATGGCGGCCCCGGCGCCCCCTCCCCGCGCGCCAGGAAAAGGCTCCGGCTGGAAACGGGGCCCGGGGGTGTAACGGGACCGGCCCCACCCGTGACCCCGCCCTCCCTCCCTCGCACCAGGGGCTGACAGAGAGCGAAGCCCCGCCCACAAAGCCCTAAGCTCCGCCCCCGCCCGCCTCAGGGCGCCTTTCCTGTGTGCCGACCCCGCCCCTCAGTGTGGGCGTGGCCCTAAGCCCCACCCCTGTCCACCGTCCCCGAGGGTTCGGCCACGCTCCACCCCCTCAGCACCAAGCCCCGCCCCCTTTTCGCCTTTGGGCCCCTCCCTGCACGCTAAACCCCGCCCCTCTCTAAGTCCCGTCCACGCGCCGGCACCTCACGGCCAGCTAAGCCCCGCCCCTCTCTGTGGGTGTGGCTCTAAGCCCCGCCCCCTCCCCCTCAGGGCGCTCCCGGGGCCCCGCGGGCTCGGTCCCGGCTCGGTGCCGGCTGCCCTGGCCTGGCCCTGCCCCGTCCCGGCTCCCCGCGCCCCACGGGGCTGGGAGACACCCTGTGGGTCCCCCACAGGCACCAAGGGCCAGCAGGGCCTGCCGGTTCCCCCCAGCACTGAGGGAACCCCGGGGCGGTTACGCTCCAGCCCGGTGCCAATGTCAGCCGTGAGCGCGGCCCGCGGCAATGGCGCCCCTCAGTGAGAGGGGCTCGGTGGGACCCTCAGCGAGGGACCCGCGGGGCTGCGCGGGCCCTGCCCTGGGGAGGCCTCGCCCTGCCCCGCGCAGTGACGTCAGCGCCTTTGATCTCATGACGTCACGGAACGCGTGACGTCACCACCGCGTGCCCGTCCCCGGCGGGTCCCCCCGCAGCCCGGGCGTTCCGGCCGGGCCGGTGTTTCCGGGGAAGGCGGCGGCGGCGCTTCCGGCGCGGCGGGAGGAAGTGACGGCGGGTTTGTTGACAGCGGAGGCCGCGGCGGGGGGAGCGGGGCCGAGCAGGACGCGGAGCCCGCCCCGGGCACCGGGACCAGCCCCCCCATGGCACCAGGTGAGTGCCGTCGGGCCCTTTCGCAGCCCGGCCAGAGGGCACCGGGCCCGCCCGCCTGGACGGGGGGAGGATCCGCCGTCCCCGGCAGCGCCGTGCGGAGCCCCCCGGCGCTGCCCCATCCCCTCCCCAGGACTGCCGGGCTCCGCCAGGCAGCGCCCCGCGCCGCGGCGGCAGCGCCGGCGCAGCCCCCGGGGTGACCTCTGGGTCTTGTCCCCTGTCGGAGGGCTCGGGCTCGGGGCCAGCCCTGCCCGCGGCTACTGCGAGCGCTCGCAGGGCTGTCAGAGCCTATCGCGGGCTGGCGGAGCCCCCGCGCCCAGGGAGCCGTGAGCGGGGGCACCCGGGTGTCCTCTTGGGAAGGTGACTTATAGGATGGAAATCCGTGGTGTAATTCAGGGAACCGAAGGAGCATCTTTGCTGCGGGCAGGTACAAAGATCAACACATTCCCCGAGCTGTCTCGTTTACGGTGTCAGTCGTGGCAGGCTGACAAGTTTGGGAATTCAGGCTGTGCTGGGTTACAGAACAGTTCGATCTCCTCCTGCTTCCCTTCCCCCGGTGTGAGCAGGGATGGGGTTTCCCCACACGAGTTGCCACAGCCCATCCATTAACACCATCCCAGTGATTTGCAGCTGCAGGACGCCAGGGAAGGTGACAGTGCACTTTCCCCTCGGAGCGTAACCTGTGCCAAACTCTGCATTTACGTGACATTCGTTATTCTGGAGTCGCTGCAATCACTCATGTCAGTGCACAGTGTTTGCCCTCTCCTTGGACAGGTCCCTGATGCTGGAAAAGTCAGCTTTGCCAATTATTTTTGTAGCAGCGGCAGCATAAACGTTCTGTGGTTGGCACGGAGCCAGAGTGAGTCAGGCTTGGCTCTGGGCACTGCCTGGAGAGAGGCTGGGAGAGAGGATTGGTCTGGAGTCCAGGGGAGAGGATATTGGCACCAGCAGCCCCAAGAGTGCCAGGGGCTCATGTGCCAGTGCAGCCTGGAATGCTGTCACCATTCAGGTGCAGCCTGAAAATAGACAATACTTGCAAAGAGACTGGTGGGACCTGCTGATGGGGTGAGTGGAGCTGCCTGTGCTGTGGCTGGTTTTGGGCCTGTGGATGGTGGGAGGGGGCTGTGGCTGCAGGGAGAGGGCTGTGTGCCCATGGAAATGGCTTTTGTGTGCCTGCTCCTGCAGCTCTGAGGGACTCGATTCCTTCATGCACTGAGATGGAGGTAAATTTGTTAGAGAAATAAATATTGGCACTGTAGTTCTGGTCAGTTTGCAGTTGGTGCTCTTGAATTTTCAGCATCTTTCATGTGTCTGTCTTTGACTCTTCCAAAGCACACGTGCACCAGGCAGCTCGTTGCCCATCCTTGGAAGGCACTGGTGGCTGTCACTGGGCAGCTTGATCCTGTAGAGAGCTGCTTGAGGATAACAATCAGACAAATGTTAGTCATTTATCAGCATCTCCAGTTTGTTTCTTGGTGTCACACACCAAGGTTGTAACTGGAGACAATATTGATCAGGGCAGCTACTGACACTTAATTCCCCCTCCCCCTGCCGACATGTCACGTCTTGGGTCTAAGTGAGGAGGGAGAGCCCAGCTTGTGTCTTGTCCTGGACAAAAGGTCACAGCAGCTGCTCAGATATCCATAATAAATCATGAAGATGAAAGCTTTTCTTTGGTCTTATTTCACTGGGACAGCTTAACCACTCTTCTTTCTGTTGAACTTCTGTCTGGGATTGTGTTGGTGGATCACGGGGAGCTCAGAAGTTAAAGGGCAGCTGATTTCTCCAGGGCTGGGATCAACTGGCTGCATTGTGCTGGTCTCAGCAGAGAGGGAACAGAGGCTGGGCAGAGCCACAGGAAGGCAGTCCTTGCCCTCTGGTGCTCTGAGCTGCTTGGACAAGTCCCAAGCACTGGCCGTTTCCAGCTGCACGTGACAATGGATTGTCAATGGGAATTTGTTTTCGAGTTCTCTGGCCATCGGTAGTAAACAGTGGAAGAACACTGGCTGCAGGGACCTCCTGTCTGATGGCACAGGGGAACTGGTAGGGACAGCAGAACGTGCTTCCCAACTGGTTCAGATCTTCCTGTTGATCTTGCCTTTCTGGAAAGATTCTCTCAGGCTTGAGGCAAAATCTGCGAGAGGGACTCGTTCTGGAGGTGAGGCTGATTCATCTCCAAAGCAGGAACAGGGCAGCTGCCTCCCACCTGCATTCCCCTGGTCAGGACCTCCCAGCCAGAGAGAAGATACTCTGCACTCAGTGGCCCATTTCAGCCTTGACTTTTCTCCTGACTTGGCTACAAAGGAGAGAGCCATGGATTATGGAGCTCCTTCTGTTTTATGGTTGAGACCATATGGACCTCCAATGTCTCTGAGCTGTCATGGCACTATTGAGAACTCACAATTTTATGTTCTTGTGACCCCATCTCAAGACTCAGTGACACAGAAGAGTAGGTTACACCCTTAACATCCTGATTGGAGAGAGTTTAAAGTACAATTTTTGTGATTGCTGAGGTTTTGGGTTTGTTTTTTCTTTTCCTCAGCATCTGCTTTTGCCTGGAGAGGTTTTACATTTTGAGCCAACACCAGCAGAGAACCTGAGATCCCCCCCTGGAAAAGCTGCTAAATCTTGTAGGTCAGAACACAGAAAAAGAATTAATGAAAGGCAGGAGGAAGGAAAAAAAGAGGTTTGAGTTCCAACTTGTGCTGCCTTCATGTTTGCATGGAAATCCCTTCTGCAGGACAGGGAGGGATCAGAGGGAGCTTGGGCTGCCGGGCAGGCTCAGTCACAGCTGTGCTCCTGTCGCCCATGGAGACCCTTTGGTGCCTGGATTTGAAGGGTTTCCTTGTCCACAGCCTTGATTTTGTGTGGGCATCATCACCCAGGTAGGGGCTGAACAGCATCTGAAAAGGGCAGAGAGAAGGTGCCTGATCCACCCCAGTGCCCTTGTCATTAGGCTGAGGAAAGGGAGTTAAACTCTTCTGCCTTGTACTGATACTGCAGGACTGGAGGAAAGGGAGAGCAGCAGAGGCTTTAGGGAGACACAGAGAAGTGTCCTGATCTTTGCAGCTGCGGGATAAAGATGAGAAATGCAGTATGGTTAAGGACATTTTGCAACAACTTCCCCAGCAGTGGCTGCTCAGCTGTGGCACAGAGAACAGCAACTGCCTCCACAGCACTGGTGTTCTTGCTGCCAGCAGGGACAGACTGATGGATAAGACACAGGTTTTACATCAAAAATAAACATTTCAACAATATTTTTGTGTCTGGAAATCTTTAGAGAAGTTCACATTAGGATTGCTTCTAACCTGATTTGACCCTTTGGAAGTAAAATGTCATTGCTGGTGTTCAAATTAACACTTCTGCTAAACACCTCAGGGCTTCAGTGAGCAAATCTTGATACCAGAGCTGTCAGATTTTTGTCAAACAAATAAAGACAGTGATATCTTCCCTGAGTTCAGGTGTCCAGCATGTGCATAAACTTACACATGCTGAGTTGCCTTACACTGCACTCAGAGGGATCCCAGACCAGTCCGTGTGTTTGCCTCTGGCTTCTGATCCACTTCACGGTCTAGTTCAAAGACATTCATGAAGCTTCTGCCTTGGCACTACAGGGAAACATTCAGCTTGAAAACGGAACTTGCCTTGGAGTGGTGGCAAACAGAATTACAGGCAGGAGATACGGGGTCAGCTGATCCCACCGGGGCCACACAGAGGCCACACAGAGGATTATCCCGACAGCAAATGTTCTGCTGCTTTATCCAACCCACTCTGAGGGAGACCAAGCAATGTGGCTTCTGCCACTTCCCTTTCCGAGGGCCTTTGTCACCAGATAATCTGCAAGGAGGAAACATTTGGCTGTGCAGCCTCATTTCCAAACACTTTCACATTAACTCATCCTTGGGGGTGGAGATACCAAGGAATTACGGTCACACTGCCAGAGAGGCCAAACTGCTGCAGGTCTTTTTGAGGTCCAGGGCTGTAAACACAACTCCCAACATCCTGGGACGCTGGTCGGGACGCTTGGATTTGCGCCTTTCTCAAAGCATCTCTTTTCCCCTCTGCTTCCAGCTGCCCTGATGTCCCTGTAAATCCATCCTGGAACTTCATCTAAGGAAAGGATCTCCTGAATCAAAAGCTTCCTCCTGCTCTTCCCCTTCCCATAACTTCCCTCAGGATGGCATCCGACAGCCCCGAGTCGCTGATGACCCTGTGCACCGACTTCTGCCTTCGCAACTTGGAGGGGACCCTCTGCTACCTCCTGGACAACGAAACGCTCCGGCTCCACCCTGACATCTTCCTGCCCAGCGAGATCTGTGACAAACTTGTCAATGAGTATGTTTTAGGCCTGGCTTTGGGAAGCTTTGCCTGGTTTGAGGAGCTGGGAGCTCAGGCAAAGGGGTGTATAGTTCTCCAAAAAGAATGAAAGGGGAAGAAATCATAGGGCTGTTTTTCCAATTGATCTTCATCTTGGCAGTAAAGGTTTGCATTAAGTTCAGAAGGAAGTGTTCCCAGAGTTATTGTAGTGCTATATATCACTCTAATTTCTGTGGATATCACCCTTTCCAAGTTAGTCAGATAGAGCTGAACAAAGTCCTGTTAAAAGGGAAATCAGAAGGGTAAACCCAGAGTGAAACAGTCACTGCTTCACAGTCAGTAAGCAACAAAGGAGCCTTCCCATTTCCCACTGCTGAAGCCCCTCTCCAAGCAGAGAAATAAGAGTGCAAAGTGCTAACAGATGTTAAATTTTAAAGTTGCTGCTCCCATAGATTTACAAAGCAACCTGTTTCCAGGGATTTACATAATTTGGCTGTCACAGTCTCTCTTGGCTGAACTCGTGCCCACAAAGTCTGGCAGAGAACTCCGGCCAGCTAATTTTCTGAAAAAATTAGAAAAAAAATCAAATTACTAAGTTTAAACAGCTAGGGAAAAAATTCTTGGAGGCTGTGCTTGCCAGAATCCAGTTTGCTCACAAACACACACAGTCTTGCCCAAGATATCCCTAAGGATTAGCTCAGTGCCAGGAGAGGTAGTGGGTCAGCCCCTCTACCCCAGAGTCTGACCTGGGTGATCAGGAGGGGGTTGGTGTCACATTCCCATGTCACCAGTGCAGGTGCCAGAGCTGTAGCTGAGCCTCTGCCATGCTGTGCTAATGCCATTGCCCCCCACAGGTACGTGGAGCTGGTGAAGACAGACAGCATCTTCGAACCCCATGAAAGCTTCTTCACCCTCTTCTCAGACCCACGGAGCACCAGGCTGGCTCGGATCCACCTGCGGGAACAGATTGTGCAGGACCAGGACCTGGAGGCCATCAGGAAGCAGGTGCTGTTGCATTGACAGCTGTCATGTCACAGCATTGCTGCATGGGCACCAGCTAGAATCCCAGACATGCAGATCCCCAAGGCTCCATCCTTCGCTTTGGGAATAACATCGGCTTCTCCCTTCTCATCTCCCAAAGCCACTGTAGGGAATGGGATGGGGACACTGGTGATATGTGGTCTCAGGCTGTCCCAGCGGGAGGTGTGGATCAAACAGGGCGGGCACTTTACCTGTGAAATATCTCCTAACCTTGATTTCTCTTTTCCCAGGATCTTGTTGAGCTCTACCTGACTAACTGTGAGAAGCTGACGGCCAAGAGCCTGCAAACCTTGGTGAGCTTCAGCCACACACTGATCTCCCTGAGCCTCTTTGGCTGCTGCAATATCTTCTACGAGGAGGAGAACCCCGGGGGGTGTGAGGATGACTGTCTGGTGAACCCCACCCGCCAGGTCTTGGTCAAGGACTTTACCTTTGAAGGCTTCAGCCGCCTGCGCTTCCTGAACCTGGGCCGCCTGATCGAGGGGGTGAACGTGGAGACCCTGCTGCGGCCTCTGGCCTCCCTGGCAGCTCTGGATCTCTCTGGGATCCAGCTGAATGATGTGGGATTCCTCACCCAGTGGAAGGACAGTCTGGTTTCCTTAGTGCTTTACAACATGGACCTTTCAGAGGAACACATCCAAGTGATCGCACAGCTTCGCAAGCTCAGGTCAGATCTGTTCTTCCTTGCCTATCCTTTGCCCGCTGATAGGAAAAGGTCTTTTAGGAATTATCTACTTGCCTGCTAACAGAGAAGCACCTCTGGGTGCCTGTAACCTTATAACCTGCTGGGTTCAGGTTATAAACCTTCCTGTGAACAGGCTCACTCATTGACTCACTGCACATATCTGACATGTCTAAAGCCAGCCTGAATTTTACTTGTAAAAAGACATACTTAGCAGAAACTTCCTCTTAGAAAAGCAAAAAATAACACCTTCACACCTCCCAAAAAACCCCAGACACCCAAAAAAAACCCAAAAACCAAACCGAACACCGAACCAAAACCATCACCACCCCCAACCAGACAAACAAAATAGAAGAGGTGAATACCCAAGAGATGGCAAAAGAAAATTACTACATATGGTTACATAAACTAACACAGTGATACACTGCGAAACTCAGTCCTCCAAACCATTCATCAAACAGGGATTTACAAAGTTTAAGCCTGGCTCTGCAATAAAACTAGGAAAAGCTCTGAGCTCAGGCTGTCTTCTGGCTGTACTCCATGGAAGCCCACTGTGCATGGATGGGGCAACCAAGGGAACAAGCAGTGTCAACAAATGGGTGCTCCTGACCTAAAAGTGTTGACAGTGAAACAATTTCCTGAACCAGAGCTGAGACAATTGCTATTCAAACCTCACAGTGGTATTGGGAAAGGAATCCAGGACTTCCCAAACCAGAGAGAAAGGCCTTACTATTCACAGGAAGGATGCTTTGCAATGGCTTTAGCATCATCACAGTTGAATTCAGGCACATTAACATACACTCTGGAGTCTCAGGGAACATCCTGGATAACATTTTCTAAATCTAAGTACTTTTAAGTCCCAGTGACTTGCAATGAAACCTGGTCTGCAGCAGGTAGAAGACACTTTTGTGAGTGGGATGCTGGCTCCTGTTTCAGGAAGTTTAGAAAAGTCTCTCTCAAGGATCTTAGCCCCTGCCCTGTAAGGGACCCCCCCTGCACACCATATGGGTCAGTTTGTCCCACCACTCCCATAGCAGCAGGATTTCCCCAAAGCTTAAGCATTTAAACACCTGAAAGAAATCAGGACAGAGTACTAGCCCGAGGTGGAAAAATTAGAAGATTGGGGAAGCAGACAAAATCTTGTGTAACTTAATTTGCAGGATGAGGCAAGATACGTTTCTGGGGATGCAAAGATCCTCTGGTGCATTTTAATCTCCAGGCAGAAATGCTCAGGTGGCTGCTGCGATGGAGCTTGGGAAAGGCAGTTCCTGAGCCTGGAGCCATTTGCTTTGTGATGTGTGGCCAGACGATTCACTGTGCTCCGCTCCAGGTAGACCTCTGCCAGATAATCTGTGTGCTTTGGTTACACACAGGGCCAGCTGCTGCTGCCAGAGCCTACAGAATCACATTCCTGTACCTTGGGAAGGAAATAATAATAAATAATAACCACACTTGGTACTCCTTTTCCTCTGGTAGAGAGGCAGAAGCCCCAGCTAACGCTCTCCAGGCTCTGAGATGCTCTCTGTCACCTGCAGGCACTTGGATATCTCCCGAGACCATCTGTCCAGTTATTACAAGTTTAAGCTGACCCGGCGGGTTCTGAACCTGTTTGTGGAGAACCTGGTGAACCTCAGCTCGCTCGACATCTCAGGGCACACCATGCTGGAGAACTGCACCATCCCCAGCATGGAGGAGAAGATGGGCCAGACAAGGTACAGGAACAGCAGTTACTGAGGTTTGCTTGGATGGATAGATCATGGAAAGATGAGTTAAGAACAGTTCCCTCTTTTGAGTTCCCAAATTCTGTAGGTCTAAGACTAAAAAGCAGGATACAACTCTTCCCAGTTTCCCCTGACAGTAAAGACTGGTGTGAGAATCAACTGCTATTGCTGTATGCAATAGCATAGCATGTCCTTACCATACATGTAAGGACTTGTAAGAGTAATAAAGAAATCATCCCATCTGCCTGCCATACAGCTCTGAAGGATTTCAGTTCTTTTCCACACACATTCTCCCAGGGATCTCCTGCAGGATTATTTCTGAAAGGACTCCAAAGCTCTGTACATACTTCCTACACAGAACATTCTTACCCTCGCTAAAATCCAGGCTCTTTTGAGACAGAACATTTATACACTGAGTCAGGGAGGGCTGAATGTTTTAGGAACTTGGAATCTAAAGGCCTGATTTCAGATTTGACCTGGATATTGGGGAGATCAATCCTTGCAAATCCTGGTAGGGGCATAGCTAGAGGTTTGGTTTTCCAGCTCAGCCAAGAACTCTGCCCTCCTATGAAGCACTTACTGAACAGAAGCAAACAAGTGGGACAGTACTGGCTCCTTTTTATCAGAGCTGGTGAAAATGCACTGGCTCTTGGTCAATAAGGAACATGGCAGCAAAAGCAGTGTTCCTGCCTGCTCACAGAAGCAGATCTAGTCTATCAGATGATGCACAGCCCAGACTGCAAATACTTTGGATCAGTGACATCCACAGCCCTTTAAAAGGAAATGTTCACTCCAACCAGTGAATTTCCAGGACAAATTCTACCTGGGAAAGCTGCATTCTGTCTGCATGAATTCTTCTTACTGCTGGTTCTATTCCACACATTCACCCTTCACTCGGGATCACCTGGGATGAACGTTTAGGGTTATGTTTAGGAGCTCCTGTAAAGTGAAGTGTAGCCATTATCACTCTGGTTACGAGGCAGTGCAGAATGAATGGAGGGCTGACACCTGAAGAAACACGGTACCGACATGAGCGATCTCTTATTTTTTTCCCCCCAGCATTGAGCCAGCAAAGAGCAGCATTGCTCCCTTCCGGGGTCTGAAACGGCCACTCCAGTTCCTGGGCCTTTTTGAAACGTCTCTCTGCCGCCTGACACATATTCCAGCCTACAAGGTAATGAGGCTGCAGGAATGCAGGCAGTGGGAGCTTGGTATTAGTTGAAAGAACATGAAAGTTATTGGCTGCCAGTAGAGCGGAGTTCTTTGGGTCTCAGTTGTGACAACTAAGCTCTGACCTTTCAATACCTAGTTGATAATGCAGGAAATCTGCCTCCTCCTCCATAATTTCTTCCCTGACTGTTTTTGTTCCCCTGTACCAGGTGAGTGGAGACAAGAACGAAGAGCAAGTCCTGAATGCCATCGAGGCTTACACGGAGCACCGGCCGGAGATCACCTCCCGCGCCATCAACCTCCTGTTCGACATCGCCCGCATCGAGCGCTGCAGCCAGCTGCTGAGAGCCCTCCAGGTGAGCCTTTGCCTCTCCCTCACAAGGGCAATTTTGTGGTCCCAGTCTTTTTTTCACCCTGGGAAACCATTCTGGAGAAGGTTCCAGTAGTGCAGTGGAACTGGTTTACCTTCGTTTCATAAGCACGTTCCCTCAATGCCTGGGCCACGCATTCCTTGAGGGCGTCTAACAGTCACTCCAAGACTCCACAGCAAGTCAGTGGCACTGAAGCTCCATGTTCTTTCTCCACAGCTGGTGATCACAGCCCTCAAGTGCCACAAGGATGACAAAAACATCCAGGTGACGGGCAGCGCGGCGCTGTTCTACCTGACCAACTCCGAGTACCGCATGGAGCAGAGTGTGAAGCTGCGGCGCCAGGTCATCCAGGTGGTGCTGAACGGCATGGAGTCCTACCAGGAGGTCACAGTAAGAGCAGACCAGGCTCCTTCAGCGCCCTTCTTCCCTTATCCTATTTCTTTAGCCTGGTGTCAGCATCTGGGTCTCCTCAGCCTCCAGGCACTGAGTCAAGGCAGAGAAGCGATTGCCCAGATCTGCTCCTTTCCTTCACTCAGTGATGGGGATTACGTGCAGGGTGTTCCTTATCCATGTGATACTCTCCAGAAAAAGGGGGAGAAAGTAATGATAGCAAGGCTCCTTTTTTTCCATGGGTAGCAGTCAAAGGTTGTGCATTGACTGTGGTGTCAAAGGCATTGGGGATATCGAGTCAATGGAAAGAAACATCCCAAATCTCTGTACTGGAAGCCAGCTGAGCTTGCACGCAGTGAGGAACTGGCTTGGAAAGCAGTGGGCCCTGGGTAATTGTGTGGCCTTGTGAAACTGGAGTGACAGAGAGAAAGAAAGGGGTACTGACAGAGCATGGCTAAAGCACAGCACTAAATAGAAGGGTAATTGAAATTTTAGTAGCTGTAGTGAGGCAAGAAGATGGTTTCAATACCAAGCAGAAAGGAAACATGAAGTGATGGGGCCGGTGGTTTTGTAGCCACCTGGCCCAGCATTTGCTTCCTTTTGGCCCAGGTACAGCGGAACTGCTGCCTGACACTGTGTAACTTCAGCATTCCCGAGGAGCTGGAGTTCCAGTACCGCCGGGTCAACGAGCTGCTGCTGAACATCCTCAACCAGAGCCGGCAGGACGAGTCCATCCAGCGCATCGCTGTGCACCTCTGCAACGCTCTGGTCTGCCAGGTGGACAATGACCACAAAGAAGCTGTGGGCAAGATGGGGTTTGTCATGGTTGGTATGGTCCCAGGGTGTCTGCTTACCCTTAACCCAGCACAGTTCCCTTGCAGCCGTTCACCCAGTGCATCCAGCTGTGATCCAACCTCACAGTATCACTGTCCCAGCAGTGCTAACCCTTCCTGGAGCCCCTTTGCTTGCTTACCAGCCATGATCCCAGAGACTGCCTGGGAGGGCAGAGAAGCACTGTAACCTTATACAGGTTATACCTCCTCACCACATCATGTTATTTCCACAGCTGGTACCACCTTGTGACTCGCTCCTTCTCTTCCTCCCCAAGTTTGCATCAGCTTCCCAGCTCATGTCAACCCACGTCCCTCACCTTTTCCAAGAGCTGCAGAGGCCAGTGCTCTGGTGCAGTTATGCCACATCCCAGACTTTGTCATACAGATCAAAACTGACTCAACCACAAACTCAACGGTTCAGGGACTGGCATAGTTCATCTCTGTAAATACCTGCAACTTTGAACATAACCCAGTCCCATTGGTTTAAAGAAAGAGATACCAAGTAGGTTCTCTACAAAGGATCAAAATTGAATATGCCTGAAAATTGGCCACTGCAGTACCACAGCAGCTAAGTTTTAGCTCCATGATTTCTAAACTGTTTCTCACTCTTCCCCTTCCTTTGCCCACAGACAATGCTAAAGTTGATTCAGAAGAAGTTGGCTGATAAAACGGTGAGTGTTTCCCCAAAAAAACATATACATAGAGTATTTGCTCTTCAGTCCCACTTAGGCCTGGAGATCAGCCCAGAGTGCCAGCTCAGCTTCTCTGACAAACACAAGACATCTCAGCTGATGCTGCAGAATTTCTTGTCTCAGGCTGAGGGCAGGGGAATGTGACAGGGAGACAAAAATATTAAACAAAAAAACCCACTTGCTGACAAATTGAAAGTGAATAACAAGGTTTTCTTACCTCTGGAGCCATTTGGGGTGATGCCAGAGGAAACAAGTGGTTGCTCTGTGTCAGGCTCCCACATTAGCAAAGCTCTGATTCTGTCCCTTCTTTGACTCTCTAGTGTGATCAGGTGATGGAGTTCTCCTGGAGTGCCCTATGGAACATCACTGATGAGACCCCAGATAACTGTGAGATGTTCCTTAACTACAGCGGCATGAAACTGTTCTTGGAGTGCTTGAAAGTAAGTGTGATTGTCTCTGGGGAGAGATTGTCTCCACGAGCAGTGGAGATGCGGGTGCCTGGGCAGGATCCCTGGCTCTGCTCCTCTCCAAGGAGTACTTCCTGCATTGCACAAATGGAAAAGTAAAAGCTTGTCTATGTTCTTCTCACATCCTTCCACCCAGCCAGTAGAACAGAGGAACTGAACACATCTTCCTGTTTCCCCAGCTTTGCTCAGTTCCCCTGAGCAGAGCAGCAGTGAACAGTGAACAGAGGGCCCTGGTCTCAACTCTCCCACTTCACATGTACCTTTAGCACTCCAGATCCCATTTGGCTCCTGCTAAGGAGCCATTCCTGACTTCCCAAAAGTGCTCAGCCTTTCTAGATGTGCTGTACAGCCTTTCCCCAGGGTTGCTTGTTCTTGGCATCACTGTGGCCCTACCTGTATGTAATCCTGTCCTTTGCTCATCCAGGAATTCCCAGAGAAACAGGAGCTGCACCGCAACATGCTGGGCCTCCTGGGCAATGTGGCAGAAGTGAAGGAGCTCCGCCCGCAGCTCATGACCTCCCAGTTCATCAGTGTGTTCAGGTGAGTGCCTGGCTCATCAGCTGGGCCTGGAACTCTGCTCCTCCATCACCTGGAGACTCCTAAACCTTTGCTGCTTCAGCACCTCTAAGTGATCTCGTCTCCCTTGGCAGCAACCTGCTGGAGAGCAAAGCCGACGGGATTGAGGTGTCCTATAATGCCTGTGGAGTGCTCTCCCATATCATGTTTGATGGTCCAGAGGCTTGGGGGATCTGTGAACCCCACCGAGAGGAAGTTGTGAAGAGGATGTGGGCAGCCATCCAGAGCTGGGATATCAACTCCAGGAGAAATATCAATTACAGGTGAGGAATAGGAAAAGTTTGGCCCACTCACCCAGGAGCCAGGATTGTCACAGGAAGCCAACACCAACAGAGAGAATGGAAGAGATATAGCCCAGCATGGAGGCTCTGTTCAAAGTGAGAGAGGAACATCCTCAGGGATATTCTTTAGTGAGGGTTTTACATCTTCCTTTGAAATATGTTACACAAGCTGCTGAAATTAGACACCTTACCTGGCAATTCCTATGGGAGAAGTTTAGGAGCCTGACAGAATTTCTCCTGCATGTTTCTGATGAAATTGAGTACCTCAGGAAACCCATGATCTGTCTGGGACTGCCTAAGCATCATGCTCTGAGACTGCTGTCCTTTGCAGCTCCTTAAGTGTTTGCTTCCCAAAGTCATGTGCTGTAGCTTTCACTCTCAGGGGCATATTTAGACACAGTTCCCAGAAATCATGCGTTTATACAACTGCTGGGATCGTCCAAAACCCTTCCTGTAAGAGGGTATCAGGTACTCAGTATTCCCTTAGTGCTTGGCAGGGATCCAGAACTGGCATTCCAGTGCCTGTTCCACAGTATAGACATGTCATTGTCGTCAGAAGAAACACAGCAACCCTTGCATGTGTGCAGCCAGCTTTGCCTGGGTATAGCTTGGCTTTATCCCCTCTACAGATCCATCAGTGCTGGGTTTTAGCTGTTGTGAGCAAATGACTGATGGAGGATGGAAATCAGATTTTGGGCTCAGTCACCCTCCTAGCAGCTATTTATCTGGGCAGTGTTTGTGCTGAAGTGGCGGGGTCTGTAATCCTGCCAGCACTGCCCTGGGACACAGACTTAGCCTTGGTGCCAGAATCTTTGGCGTGCCAGTGCGTTTACTGCTGTGACATCTGTGAGCAGAGTTTGTATTGCTGTGAGTGGTGAAGGTGCTGAAAGGAGCTGCTCTCGGATTTTTAACAACTTCTGTAATATTTCTGTGCAGGTCATTTGAACCAATCCTCCGACTTCTTCCACAAGGAATCTCCCCAGTCAGCCAGCACTGGGCCACCTGGGCACTCTATAACCTGGTCTCTGTCTACCGTAAGTTCCCTTTCTGAAATCACATCCCTTGCACTGTAGAACTTGAGGGGGTGGCTCTGAGGCTGTCAGCAGAAAAAGTCTTCCCAGTTAAGCTATGTAGGGGGAGAAAACCTTTTTTGAATGATGCAGGAATGTCCAGGCAGCATAGCCAAACAAAAACAATGAGACTTGGTGTGTAGGAAATTCCTTCACTGTTTTGATCCTTCTCCTTGCCCTCCTGCCACCCTTTGTACCCCTCTTGTGAGGGCTCACAAGGGCCTGTTTCATTCTTTTCTCTGCAGCTGACAAGTACTGCCCGCTGCTGATCAAAGAAGGTGGGATCCCTCTCCTGAAGGACATGATCAAAATGGCCTCAGCACGGCAAGAGACCAAGGAAATGGCCCGGTAGGACACCAGAGCACTGTCACAAACATCCAGTTTAGTTTTTATTCTTCCACATCAAGTGAGGCTGCCAAAGCAAGGCCTGCATTGATGTGTGCAAGGGGTATGAAGTGAACACAGACTGGAGGTGTTTGTAGGTGGGCAATGCACACAGATCATTGCCAGGCAAATTGGTTACAGAATTGGCTTGTTGATCAAGGGAGCCACGTGACTAATTGCAGCTCTTAGGCCAATAGTCTCCAGTCATCACTGTCTGTCTCCAGAGTCATACTGGTCTGTCATTAAAACTACTGACTGCACAGTTAAAATGAGAGCATTTTTCAAAAGGTAGAGAGAGTCCATCACCTTTGTGAGCTTCCCCAGTTACGTGACCTTCTTTTGGAGTCATCTGTTCAGGGTTTTAAAAGCCAGCTGCAGTCTCTGGTCATTGGCAGAGCAGGAGCTGTAATTTCATACCTGCAGGATGAATATAAAAGAGGTAGAGATGGGCTGGGAACACATACCTGGTGGGTGGGCAGCAGGTATTCCCACAGCTGAAGGGTCACTAAGCGCTGGAGGGGACTGGAGCCTGCAGAAGACAGTCACAGTTACACACAGTGTGTGTTTATGGCACAGGTGACAGCACAGTGAATGACAGACATTTGTGTGCACGTGTTTCCTGCTGTGACTCAAAGGTATCTGAGGATTTGGATATGGGGGTGGTGAATGAACAGTCACAAATGGATCTGGATGTGCACTACTGTGACTTGACATTCCAGATTGGGAGCTCTAAGCTGCTGTTGTGGAGTTTACTGGTTTTGACACAAAGAGGATAAAGTTACATAGAGATCAACTGTGGGACAGTTCTTACCTTACTGTCTCACAACTGGGTGCAATAAGCTTTACACTAAACCCTTTCTCCTTGTCCTTGTTTTATCCATAGGAAAGTTATAGAGCACTGCAGTAACTTTAAGGAGGAGAACATGGACACTTCCAGATAGAGGCACTCACCCAATGCCTCTTGCCAGCACTGTATCCAGCTTCTCTCTAACTCACTGTACATAGGGAGGACTCTTTCTTACCAACTCGCCCGTTGGAAGGAAACTTTGTGTGTGTGTGAGACCCTCAGTAGATGAAGGTGAACAGAGGAGGGGGGAGGGACTTTTTGCACAACAAAATGCTTTCCTTACCTTAGTGGACTTTTTTTGTTATGAAGTTTCAGGTTGAAGTTCCGTGTGTATGATTTCTGTATAAAAAGAAAACAAAAAACAAAGACAACTACATTATGTATCTTTTAACCTTTTTGTTTTAGACCACACAGAGAGCCTCAAATGACCATGAGCTTGAAGACCTAGTTGTGTGATCACTAGTGTGACATGTTTATTTCCCACTTTTTAGAGAATTCCCTTTTGCTGTACTGCATGAGGTCCTGTAATGTCTGCAAGAACACCAGTCCTGAATCAGCACTGGCTGCTCAGTGGGGCTGTGGGCAGGGATGAGTTATTTATTTAGTCAGAGAGGTTGGGGGACACAATACCAGAGAGACAGACCAAAAGAACTGACCTTTTAGTGATATTTATACATGGAGAAAATAGGGAAGAAAGATCTTTTAAGTTAATTCACTCCCTTAAGGGTTTTTTATAGAAGACTCACATTAATGGAAGCACTGCTAACTGTATATGGGTCATCCAGAAGTAAGACATTCCCAGTAAAGTCAAGAGGTCTGTTTTGTCCCCATTGGCAGTACAGTAGGATCTGCCAGCCCACCCACCCTCATAAGGTCAGGGATGACCAGTAAAACCAGTTACATATTCTTGGCTACACAGAGCTTTTCTCTCAAAGGGAGCCTGTGCAAGAAGGCACCAGGTTTGTTCATAAAGGGCTACACATCTTCATTCCAGACCTTCACCACCTTTTAGTTTTGTTTCTTTTGTGGGGAAGGGCTACAAAGCCAGAGTATTTCTGTCTGCATAATAAACTCTCCCAGGCCCTGATCCAGAGCAGTTGTACCCCTCATACAAGTCCGAGGAATGGCCTGGAGCTGCTCTGCTCTTCCTCAGTCTGCATCAGCACAAGCTGTGCTCAGTGGCACAGTAATTCCCCTTTACAGGTCTCTGACTACAGCACAACTGCGGGAATTGGAGGTGCTGAAGTCCTCTCCTGAGAGTGGGGAGTCTCCATGCACCCTTTGGAGGGCAATCCCATGAAATAGCCCCTCTTGTTCCACTTTCTTCTCGGAAGCAGAAGGCCCTACTCCTGTCTGACTCCAGCAGCACTTCCCAGTGCAGCCCCACTCCCATCAGCAGCTTTACTGCAGTTTGTGATGCAGGTGAGAGGAGAGTCCCACCCAGCTGATCTTCACCTGTAACACTCCAGACCTGTAAGGGCGCCAGAAGCTGAAGTTTCTCCCAGCCAGACACTCTAAGCACAGTGTGCAGCTCATGCTTAGAGCCCACTGCTCACCACAGCTCTTTGACAAGTCACAAATCTTCCCTTAGAAGGGACTTGGAAAAGATTTTATGCCTGGTAGCAGGAGAGGAGCCCACAGCCACGTGAGGTGGGACATTTCAGGCCTCTCAGCACAGTAACTCGCTGCTCTCTGCCCTTGGACACGTTGCTCTCAGATTTGACTCGCTGCTATGAGGTTCTGCTAATGCTCAGAGTTCATGTTGTCCTTGTGAGCACATTAGAGACAGATCCTTGATCCACAAACTGACACTTTAACTGACAGAACACAGCTGCCTGGACAGGTTTACTTTTTCTGCCAATATGGTGTTATTCAATGTCTTTTTTTTTTTTTTTCTTTTTAACCATATGTCATTTGTTTTGGTATTGTGAGATCTGTACTTTTTTCTTTTAAGTCTTTTTCAAACTTATATATATTTTTGTGTCACTTTCGAATTGTTTTCTTAAGATTTGCAAAACTTGACAAATTATACTTTTTTTGCAGTCTTTTAAAATGTATTTTTCTCTCTCTTATTCCTGTTCCCCAAGAATTTGTGTCTCTAAAGCTTTGAGATGGGGAAGCTTATTTCAAGATCTGTTTTCTGTGTAACATTTGCTGATCTTCCTTCTAGATGCAAAACTAAGAGAGGCTGCAAATACTGCCAGGCAGCCTTGGTGTGTTAGGGGAGTCAGGTTTTGCTCTTTAATTCCATTTAGTGCTGCTGTCCTGAAGTTGTTTCACTTGACAGTGCTGCCCACCAGGTTTGCTTCCTTCCCAATGCCCATGTAGTGAAAGCTCCTGCCACTAAAATCTCGAATCAGCTGACAAAAAGCACTGAGGATTCTGACTGTTGGCAAGGAGGGAGTGGAGCAGAAGGGGACACGTCACAGGGGGAGAGGTATCGAAACCCTTGTCCCCAGAATGCAGCTGCCACCCTGGGGAGACAATGGCACTCCCATCTCAGCTGGAGCAGAGCTCAGCCTTGCATTGCAATCCATGCAGTCAGGCTTTTCTCTGAGATTTTGGCACAACTACATCAAGGCTAATGAACAACCAGTGACTTGGTTCCATCTGCCTCAAGACCCCAAAGGTTTGGGTTTTTCAAACCAGTGCCCCCCCAAGTTCAGCTGTTACTGGGGTCTCACCTGCTGCATCCCAAACTAACAAGCTCCAAGCTGCACCAAAGCTTTGTTTCCTACTGTAAACCTCTGTCCTCACTGCTCACAGCCCCTCAGCAAGCTGTACCTGAACCAGGATAAAAAGATTTCAAATTCCCAGCAACAAGGAGATTAATGGAGTCAGGCCAGGCTGCCAGAAAAGCTCAGTCTAAGCTGAAATCTGTCACTGATCCCAGGGGAAGGGGGAACTACAACTGGGCAATTACAGCAAGCTACACATCAGACTTTGAGTCAGGCCACAGCAAGGTAAATTCCTGAGACAGCACGTTAAAAGAAGTACCATCCCTGTTAGTCACATGAGCTTTGCCTACAAGTTTCCATGTCTTCAAGCCAAGAATTTGTGAGCTGAAAAATAACATTTCCCCTTCAGTAAGAAGCAAAAGAGAGAAAGGTATCCTCTGAACACCTGAGCACAACCCAAGAATTCTGTAATTGGAAGTCTGAAATGAGTTTGTACCACAGTTTCCCTAACTGAAACAAGAGAGGCATGACCTGAAAGCAGTTTTTGGAGACAGAGTTAATTGCTGCCATAGATCCAGAGCTGAGGACAGAACAGGAGAGCTGCCTGCAGATATCATATCCGTGTTCTGCAAGGAGGGGAGGGCAAAGTGGCTGATTTTTTTATGAAGGTCTAATGTAAAAGGGGAAGTCAGATACCCTGAAATGCTTGCCTGTTCCAGGGAAGCCTCAGACCTTCCAGCCTTGCTGGATCAAAGGAATGAACCAGGAGACTTTAACTCCACACAGAATCATAGAGCCAATCACCAACCCTGCTCAGAAAACCAGAACAGGGTTGTCACCAGAACTGTCAAGTGAAAATCCAGCTGGAGAGAAGTTCATCATGAGTAAACACGTGGCAGAGGTGCTCCTTGTGCTCAGTAGCTGTTGGCCTACCCAGACTCTTCATGATTTCACTACTGCATTTCCTTTAATATTGCAAAGCTTGGCAAGCAGAGCACGAACACAACTCAGTAGCTCCCTGCAGAGACTGTGCCAACAAAGGATCCCTCTGCCTGGACTGTGTAGTTTCCTCCCTGGCTGGAGGCTGCCCTGTCCTTCAGTGGCCCTTGGCTCAGCAGGCAGCGCTGGGCAACTTCCAAATTGCTGGGCAACTTCCCACAAGTGCTTCCATTTTACAAGATCTGTGGGAGGAATTGCTTATAAGGACTGGCATCTCCTTGTATGATGCCTAACACCCAGCAGCACCAGACTTTCTCATCTAGACCAAGCCAGGCAAGTTTAGCACTGATATTTGTGGCAATCAGAGCATTGCAGATAATCCATCTGCACCATGGCTGCTGTTTCCCTGCACCTTCCTACTGAAATGTTTCTCTTCAGCACTGAATCCTACCCAGCTTGTCACCTTGGCTGGGCTGCTGCTGCTGTCACTCTGGTCTCTGCAAAGGATGAGTGGGAAGAAAAGTCTTGGAGCTGTGAGCTGAGTTCCTCTCATCACCTGAAGAAGGCAATTAATTACAAGTAGGACAAGAGCTCCAGGGGCACTGCAGTCAGGCACTATCCATAGAAAAAACATTTCCTTGAGACTGTTCAGGGAGGAGCCTGCCACAGCTCAGGTGTCAGAGGGCAGCTTGTGCTAGAAAAAGAGAATTAAAAGTAGGGAAACAGCTGGTCTCCACGACAACCATGTGCATTAAGCACAGAGGGCAATAGTCATCAGGTATGGATGAAAAGGAACATGGGGGCTGGAGAAGACAGCACTTAAATAAGGGTTGAGGGAGATTTCCTGCTGAACTGAAACACTTCTGCTTTAGCAGACTTTGGTTTGATTTCATATACTTGTCACTGATTCTCTCTGTAACTCTTTTCTTGTTTTTAAAGAAGTTTTTAAGCTAACCAAATATGTATTTCCTTGTTTTGCTGAAAGAAAACACCCTCCGTTATAACGAGTGTCTGCTTTTACTCTGTCCACGGACCTGCCTGATGTGGGGGCCTGGTTCAAATGTTTGTACGTGGTGAAACCCAGCAAAAAAATCAAAATGCACAACTGCTGCTTCCTTACAATTCTGAATGAATTAACTTTTCTGTTGTATCCATTGGATACCCGCTGTGTATTAAACCCAATGCTCAACAGTGTCTTCTTCCTTTGGTCTGTGGATGTGGTTTATTTAGGTACATTACTGGGCCGTTTGCTGTCAAATATTTCATTACAAATGAAAGGAACTGCCATGTGTTGATGGTGCAGTTCAGTGGCTTTGCCTTTCATCACTCCAAGGGATACAATACTGTTTGTCAACAGAAAAGAGATGTGGAGGAAGAGAGTATTGTTAGGAGATTGTGTGAGAGGAGAATAAAAAAATCAGGACAATATTTGAGTGTACAGATTGCTCTGAACTCCGTAACAGATCTGCAGCTCACACTCCACAGCCCAGGCTTTGTAAGTGGGCAGAAGCTGAGCACTTAAGAAAAGCCTCTGGCTTAAGCCAGTCAATCTGCTTTAAGGCCAGCGTGACTTTCTTCTTAAGACTCTGGTCCTGCAAGGGCTCAACTGCCGCTTGATTCAGTGGTCATTGTGGAGTCTCTAAAGGATCAGACTCGGGGTGAACGGAGTGGGAGGAGGAATCATATGAAACTGAACTGCCTCTGAAAATGTGCCCCGTTGTAAGAGGACAGAGAGATACCTTAGGCTTCCAGCAGCACGGAATTCCTAGCTGGAATGCCATAAGAACCTAGAATCTCCACTCAGAAACTCGCTATTAGAGATTTTCTGGAACTGAGCCTAATTTCAACCACTCACTGAGGCTGAAGCCCTTGAGACAGAGGTGAGCTCTGATCTCTGCAAGACAGGTTTCACAGCTGAAGGAGAAGATAAAAAGAGTAACATGCACCAAATTATTTTAATCACAAAGAGAGTGAGAATACACTCCTTAGGACAGATTATTCTAGAACATCAAAATGTTTCTACTTTCAAGTGGATAATGTTGTTACTACTCAAATTGCCATTATTAAGCTTTAAAATTTACACCTCTCTGCAAGGAAGGAAAGACACTACCCACCTTTTTTTCAAGCACCAGTACAGTCTGTGAGGTGTCTGAGGGAGGATAGCTGTAAGTTTTGCATTTACCTAGAATAAAAAAAAAAATTAAAGCAAAAGGGTTTGAATGATTATTGAAAATTTTGTCTACAATTTTTATTAACATTTCAACCCAGCTGTCTCAGGTAAACCATTTAAGTGACCCACACAGCCAGGTGCTTTCCTGGAATCAGCAGGTGGCCACTGACTTACAGAGACCAAAATAATGAATTTATGGGCAAACGATATCAAGGAATCAGCTACTTTTAATGTGCTGGAGGGTAAATTTAGAAAGAATAGGATTTTTCTTTCAAAATTTTCACTGAGAAGGAAGGTAACAAAAGCAGCAGGGTTTATTTGTGTTAAAACTGAAAATAGTGTAAAGAGAAAACACTGATTTTGGAACTATTACAGGCCTGTGATGAGATTCATCTCCCCTAAACTGACAGACACTCCAAGTGTAAATATGTACATCTAAGCTATAGTCACCTTAGCTTTTTTATTGTTAGCAAGAGACATCTGGGGTGCAATTCAACTGCTTTTAGATGCCTGTTTGAGCTGAGAAGGGCCATTCTCTAAACACACCTGCTTCGCTCTGCGGGCCGTCCAATGCCCTCGCTCAGCCAGGAGCCTCTTCAGTGCAGACATCCCCGGCCAGATCACATCCCTCCTCAAGTTATGTCGGGCATTCTCCAGGCTCCGTTTTGTTCATGGGGCCCTGTAACCGCATCCAGCCAGGCACGGCCTCTGTGCCTCTTCCCGGGGGATGGAAATGAACACATGGAATAACCACATTGGCAAGACTGGAGGTAATGCAGTGCGGCACCTCAGGCACCACCTCGAGCAGCCTTCGAACGGCACCCACTGCCTGACCCATCTCTGCCAGACCCTTCCATGGCTCCCAGACCCTTCCATCACTCCGCACACCCAGCAGTGTCCGCCCTGGTGTATCGGAGGTGCCGAGCACTGTGCCCAGTCCTGCGCTCCCCACACCCGCTGGCACAGCCCGGCAGAGTCACTGAGAGCCCGGGCTCGGGGCGGGAAGGGGCTCAGGGAAAACACCGAATCCGAGTCGGAAGGACTGGATGATCATCCAGTCCAACACCTTCCTCGAGGAAAGACCCCGGGGCGCTGGGCCGGCTCGCTGGGCACAACGCGGGCGGTGTGGGGGGGAGGAGGCCCGCGGGCTGCAGTGGGAAAAATCGGGAATGGTGGGGAGGAAAGAGAGCCCGGTTCTACAGGGCAGCAAAACCCGCGAGGAGGAGAGAAGTGAGTCCCGTGCCCCGCGGAGCCCCCGCCCGCCGGGCCGGCACAGGCCGCCCTGGCCCCGCCTCGGGGCGCTGCCCGTGTCCCCTCCGGCCCCGCCCGTGTCCCCTCCGGCCCCGCCCGGTCCCCTCCGGCCCCGCCCGTGTCCCCTCCGGCCCCGCCCGGTCCCTTCCGGGCCGGCGGAGCCGCGGGGCCGCCGCGGTGCCTCCATGGGGCCCGGCGGGCGCTGGGTGCGGGCGGCACACACGGCCCTCAGCGCGGCCCTGACGCTCGGGCTCCTCCTGCACCGCACGGGTGAGGCGGGGCCGGGCCGGGGCCGCTCCGCCCCGGGGGCACCGGGGGACGGGGGTCGGTGCGGGGCTGTGCGGGCCCTGCCCCCGGCACGGCCCGGGGGTGCCCCCAGGGCAGGGGAGGGTGTGGGGAGCCCCTTCTCAGCCTCTCCCCGCTCACCCCGCCCCGTTTCTCCCCGTAGGTGCGGGATCCCTTTGCTAAGGCCAGAGGGAAACATCCCGGACGCTTCACAAGGAGCTGCCGCTCTCTCTCTTTTTTGGGTACCTTTCAGATCTGCGCGAGCAAGAGGAGCGCGGGGAGCTGCTGCAGCCGCTCATCTTCGTCCTGCTGGTTCTGTGCTCCGTCCTGCTGTACTTCAAAGTGTCTCTCATGGATCCGGGCTTTGTTAAGCCTGAAGAGGAAGCAAAGGTAAATCCCTTCATAAATGAACAGTGGTGAGGCTATGAAGTCCATAGGGCTTCTCTTCTTTTTCCGCTCTGCAAGATAAGAACAGCGTGAAATAGTTTCTGTTGTGCTGGCACGAAGGAAACACGCACAGCCCATCGGAGATGAGACCAGACTGCCTCACATTCGTATTCTGTAACAGCAGCAAAAGGGTTCAGACTTTAAATGTGCCTTTCACACCACACTGACCTTGTAAGTGACTGTGCCATTTGAGCCCAAGTCCTCTCTTCCAGCAGAGGCTGCAGTGCCCTATAGAATGTGTACATGACCTATTTTATTCTAACTGCTGCTCAAGTGGTACGAGTGCACAAAACCCTAAATTGAAGGGCAGGTTTGGCAGACAGTGCTCTCTGCAGCCCTGTTTATTGAACTGTTTATGGATTTGTTGCTCTCTCAGAGGACACGCACACAAACAAGTTACAGTGAGATAAATGGAGATGCAAAGTTCCAGTAACTGATAGTCTGCCTGAGGTTCACTGCCTGCCAGACTGTGCAGGACAAAAGCATGATCAGTCTTGGTCCTCCATCATTAATGTGAGTGTGGCTGTGGATGAATAAGTAGCACTGCTTATACTGAAAAGACATCATTATTGTGTTTGGAAATGAAATCTTGTTTTTGTCCCAAAGTGTGTCTTGTCCAGTTATTTCTGCCTCTATGCAAACATTCTTTGTGTGGCTACAGGAGCCCCTTCTCTCTCGCTGTACCACAACTGCAGCGTCTCTAGGAATTCCAAGGAATTATTTTGTTTAACTTTCCTAATGATAACCAGCACTGTGTAACTGCTAAGTAAAAAGATGCAGTAAGACAGCTCAGTCATGCCAAGACAGCACCACACAAACCTTCCTCTGTCTCTTTTTTGCAGGCAGGGGAGGCTGAAGGACAGGGCCTGGTGATCCCCCAGGCTACGGGTGACGTGAAGCTGCGGCGCTGTGGTTACTGCCTGGTGAAGGTGGGCATCCAGAACATGCTGGAACAGGATGGGATGAGTGATCTTCAAAGTTCAGCTGCTGTTGTTGGTCTTTCTGCTCCATCAGTGCTGCTCAGAGGAGGCCAGATTGTGTAGCTACACATGTAGTAGTGATGGACACTGGCACAAAGGCCAGTTTTCCAAGGCTGGAAGTCCCTGCTGGCTTGTAGAAACAAGGATCTTCTTTTGCCGTGGAAAAATTGTATTCTGCATTCTTACTGCCATGTCAGCCAGTGTCAAGAAGGTTATTTTGAACATACCTTGACAGTCAGAAGGGCAGTTGAAGGCCCTGTGTGAACTGATCATCATTGAGAGCTTGTTTGGAGGCCTTAAAACAACAGAACATTGGCCTGGATGGTAAAAGACAGCATGAAGGAGAAATTAGAGCAATTTAATTAGCTCTTAAAACAGTTTGCCTAAAGTCTAGAGAGGCCTGTTTTCAGAGTGATCCTTATCGGTTTAATAAAATTAAGCATTATCCCAGCTTCCATAAATTCCTAAAGAATATCTACCAGGATAAGTGAGCTTATTGCAGGAGGAAAAGCTGGCAAAGCATTTTTATGCTTCAGGGCACAAATCTTAGGAATTGCTACTTTTCTCAGTCAGGTCTTTCGTCTTTCATCTTTTCTGTTCCTGGTATTTGAGCTGCTTTCCTGTGCAAATGTCTTGTACTGACAGAAGCAGACACTTCCCTCCTCTGTGCATCCCTTAAAAACATCCCATCCCTGCCCACTCTATTCAACAGCAGTGGTCCTAGTTTCTCACCTCAGTAGTCTGCCCATGCTTTCCTGAATGGACTCATTGGCTCTGTCTCCCTCCGTGGCACACTGGACTTCCTATAAATATGTAGATAATAAAGATGTGTAGATAGAAATAATGTGGGAGAGTCACTTAGTTTGAATCTCACCCATTTGGGTCTGTAGCAGGGGAATCACAACCCCTTTGAGCTGTTCTTAGCAATGCTGATGTGCTGTTGTCTCACCCTGGAGTGCTTTAGGGACAGGACTGCTGTGGAGGAAGAGTTTTGCATGATGTTCTGTTCTATCAAGCAGGGAGTGGGACAGCACTACTGCAGTGACTACTGCCAGCAGGGTTTTTTTTGTTTTTCTGATTGATTGTCTCTGTTTTGCAGCAGCCCATGAGAGCCAGGCACTGCCAGCTGTGCCAGCACTGCGTGCGGCGCTACGACCACCACTGCCCCTGGATTGAGAACTGTGTGGGAGAAAGGAACCACCCCCTCTTCATAGCCTACCTGGCTGTGCAGCTGGTGGTTCTGCTGTGGGGAGGCCACGTTGCTTGGTAAGGGCAGGAGGTGGCGTTTGGACCTCTGAGATGGCCGAAAATTGTGGTGCTCCTTGAGGCCCACGGAAGGGCTGGTGTAGAACACTGGATTGGCTTTGGATCTTCACTGTCTTTTGCATCCTGGAGCCCCCTAATCTTGAGCAGAATCTGATAATTTAGGTTTCATTGTTCATTTTGCTTCAGTTACTGATCTTTGTTTACAAATCCAAGTGCTGGAAAGTCCATCAGGGTTCCAGCTGTTCAGGAGAGGAGTTAACTCAAGGCAATTGTCTCTCAGCTGTCAGGGGAACCAGCATTTCTGAACATCTTAGATTCCAATCCCTACAGGTGCAGTCTCTCAGGACTTTACAGTATATTAACTCTGTGTAGTAAAGGATTATCAGCAGCTCACTAGTTATGAATCAAACTTAAATGTGCCATCAGGTTTATGGAACTTATTCTGCTCCTTTAACTGCAGATTTATTTCTCTTTGAATCGAAAGGTCAGGCCTCTACTTTCAACAGTCCTGGGAATGGCTGAAGTACAACATTTTCCTCCTGCTCTCCTTCCTCCTGATAGTCATATTCACCACTGTGGTCCTGCTGCTGCTTGTTTCCCACCTGTACCTCATCTCGTGCAACACCACAACCTGGGAGTTCACGTCCCACCACCGCATCTCCTACCTGCGCCACTCCGAGCTGGAGAATCCCTTTGACCAGGGGATCATCCTCAACCTCTGGAGGTTCTTCTGCTCACGCCACCTCACTGCATGGGAGCAAATCTATTTTCACAGGAACAGTGAGCCTGTCTAGTCCCAGGAGTACCAACACACCTGCAGGTTGCTGGGCAGAGCTTTGCTCGTGCAATTGCTGCTGCTTCCTTGCACTGAACTTTAACACGTCACGGACTGTGCAACCTGCTCCACAACCTGCTCGTCCTGCAAAGTACATTTCAGGAATAGCCAGGGTTATTTTTTATATACAAATAACACTGTTAAAGATGAGACACTGGTTCTGGGAAGGCCAAGGCCAGCAGAGCTGATTTCTGGTCTGAGCAAAGGTATCTCTCTAAATTTACTTCCTTTTCTTAACTGCATCCACACTTCTGAAGAATTCTCTTCCCTGAGGTCTCCCTTTCCTTTTGCTGCTAGGAAAAAGCAGCAATTACAGACAAAACCAGCCAGGTTCAATATAATTCCTGTGGCCTTTCTTCAGCCTAGTTCTGACTGTGAGAACTACAGTGCCTTTTGTCAGTAGTACTGGGCATGAAACAGAAATACTTGAGTAAATATTTAGACAGTCAAAAGCAAATTTCATTTCATCCACATGCCTCAAGTTAATGCTTTCCACAAAGCTTTGAGGCTTAACACTGTTAATGTGCATGAGAAACAGCTGTAAGACACCCAATTCAGCTTATGAGATAATTAGCCTGTACTTTGTGATGCCCTGAGCAGCTTCCTCACAGCTTTTTAAGTTGATGCTGCTGTTACCAATTCACAGGCTATTTTGAACCAAGTCAGCAAAGAATAATACCATCCACTTTTCTCTGGATAGAAAAGTTATGCTTGGCTACTGAGTTATTGGTAAAACTACTACTACCTCAACATACTAGTGAGATTTTAATAAAAGAATACAATTTCAGTGCAAGAGGAAAGCTGCCAGGTCCTGGTGGATGAGACGAGGAGTGCTGACAGCTTCCAGGACAGCAGCAAGTGTACTTGTTTTCCATTGAAATAAAAGGTCATACTTCAGTTTTCCATGGGATATTAAAAGGAATTTTGGGATGGCCAACTTCAGCTTTAAAAACAGAGAAGGCTGCGGTGTCAATTTTAGTCCTGACCCTTTTCTGTTAAAAAAAACCAAACCAAAACAAAACAAAAAACCACCAAAAACCACCACAACAAAATGTTAGTTAAAATTATTTTGTGCCTTAATTGCCTTGGCTCAGGAACTGACACCAGCTCAAGAACACATCTGGCAAGCCAGGAGGATGCACTCAGGGTTTAAAGTTAATGAACACTCATGAAAGAACAGTGTAGTCACTAACACAGCATGACAGTCCAAAAGCAGTTCAAAACCAGCAGAAGATTCCTTTTTTGACCAAGTCCAGAGTTTGTGATCAGTTCCCAGCCTGGTTTGTTCAGGGTAGAAGCTCTTATGAGGGATATAAAAACACTAAGGGTTGGTTTTGTGACACTGTAATAGCATCCAGAATGGATTCTGTAGTTTGTTGGTGTCACTGTGGTGCCTACTGAAGTCTGGATCACCTTTTCTGGTTCTTAAGGTATCAGTCAAGTAGAAATTTGTCAGCAGGTACTACAGCTCAAAGCACAGTTTTGCTCTCTTTGGTAATTACTTTTAAAAAGCACTGGGATGATAATTTTCCTTTTTTTTTTTACTCTAAATTATAAAATAAAATATTAAATTCGCGGTTTTTTTAATTCTTTATGCCTCTCTCTTTGAACCCAAGTTCTAGGTTTCACCTGTGCTAACAATCCACTGTGCTACTTCCCACTTCACAGTGGCCTTGACCTTAAGAAAAGCCACAAAACACACCACAGGGGCCAACAGCCAACTGTTACCACTCAAACAGCAGCAGGGAAAACGGGTATCCTGCTCCAAAGGGGCCAGTGTCCTGCCAGTCTGAGCAGGAGGTTGAAAGGACCTTTGTAGGAGGGAATTTTCAGCAGCACTTATACTTGGCTCTGAAAATAGGAAATCCAGGTTCAGTGTGTTTTGCACAAACACATCTCTTACTGTGTTGAA